GGGGGGGGGGGGGGGGGGGGGGGGGGGGGGGGGGGAAGTGATAGAGCGACTTGGTGGATACCTGGCATTTAGCCAGAGTCAAACCATCACAGCTAGAAAATGACAAACTTTCCAAAGGACTGTAAAGGAATGAGGCATGTACTTAGGTCTTGTCACTAGGCTTTTAGGTGGATGCTTAAGGTGGTCAGAGCTCAGGTTTGCTGTTTAGGTCAAGCACCTAATTTTAAAAGAATCCAGGGGCATCAGTTGTCCATATAGCAAACTGGGATTCGGCTGCCAATGCAGTTTGCAAACTGCACTGTTTAGAGGGTGTTAATTCAAGACTTTGAAGTACTAGAAGCAGGAAAGCAGTATTCCCATCTCCTCAAATTCACTCTCTAGCATGACATAATTTCTTTGTAGAATTTTTTTTGTGGCACTGCACCACTCACCACTCAGCCCCCCCTTACATTCAGTTTAGTTGTTTGGGTTTACACAGATCCTATCTGCATTTTAAAAAAGAGACTGAAGATTTTAAATTTCTCTTTGAAAAACAGTATTTTACAGTACATACAAAAATACTCTGGAAAAAACATACAACTTCATTTACAAAAACATCAAATTATAAAGAAATTACAATGGCAAGATAGCATAACATTTGATAACATTTGTTTCATATGATCAGAATTTCTCCTCACCCCTCAAAAAACGCTGATGCACTTAACTGATGAAACAGTGTTATCAGTTCACAGAACCAGACTTAAGACTACTACAAGTTTTCATATAACCATTTAGAACAGCTTTCAGGGTTTATCTGAAACCACTTTCTGCATGCCAGTGGCTTTCTAGGCTACAGCTTGCAGGTGGGCAGCAGTGTCACAACAGCCTCAGCTGTTGCAGTGTTTAAGCACATCTTCAGCTGTGTGTTCTGAGTTTAGCTTTACTACCCAGTGACAATAAAAAACCCCCAAGTCTCATGCTAGAGCAGTCTTAAGACAAAAATCAGATAACATGACATGGAATATGCCTGTTATCTCCATACCTTGTTAGCATCCTCTGCTGCATTTTCTTCAACATTTAAATAATTTTTGGGCCTCCACAGGAGGCAATACATGAGTAGTGCTACACAGTGGAAAGCTACTGGCTGAGGAAGCTGAGCACCGTTGTGATAGATGCACAGGAGTGCATGTGCCAAATGGAAAAATAAGAACAATATAAGCACATGAACACAAGCACGTTCATACACTCTTGAAACCAGAACGTGGTTGCAGAGACTAGTTAACTCTGCTTATATACATTCTGAATCCAAGTCACAGGACAGGATGTTTTTTGTGTTTTTTTCAAAAGCTGTTTCAGCTAATAACAATTAAAGACATTTAAAAAGACTAATTAGGATAAGTGTTACAAGAACATGCAAAGAGTAGTTCCAAAGGAAGCCAGCATCTGACAATATTATAAAATAAGACCATGATTTTAACTGGCCAACTGCACTATGACAACATTAACAAAGTATGGAAGGTTACTAACTACTATACACATAGATAATATGGACCACAAGTGATTATTGCTATCTTTACCTGAAGAGATACTGGTTATCTATTATTAAGAGTAAGTTTGATGGATCCTTTCATAATATGAACACTATTTGTTGGAACAGGAGATGAAGAATCTGGTAGTTCTTTACAGGAAAACCTCTACAAGACAAAAAGAAGACACAAATTTCAAATTCATTAATTGAGAAGTAGCTTCAGACAAACCCTTTCCTAGCTGAACATAACGTTCATTATGTACCAAAACAGTATGGTTCAAACCCAAATCTTTACAGAGGAACTTTTTTTTTTTTTCCTTCAACACTCCACTTGTCTTGTTATCACCAGTTTACAGAGGAAGAACGTTTTCAACCTCCGCACTCTTCTTTTCCTGGTATCAATTGAGATAATATTCCCTGAGGTGGAGAACTCGGTTGCAAGTTGCTCAACCACATAACAGAGGAAGCTAGCATTCTTCTCAGATCCACGGATCAGGAAAACAGCATCTCTACTGTCCAGATTACTTCCAGTCTTGTAACCCTCAATTCCACAACATTTTACATGACATGAAAGAGTTAAAGCCACTTACACACTTCAAAGTTTGCATGCAAGTCTTGTCATAGAAAGCAGTGCACAGGTATTTATGATAATAAGAACTGAGATCACCTATGAAAGATCTGCAAGAAGCACAGATCTCTCTGCTTCAGAAAAAAGCAAATTGGGAAATAATCTGTGTTAGTGGTTGAGTGCATGGAAACGTGTTTTTTTCGAGTTCAGTAACTTAGAAACTTGGGCTTCACTTTCATGAATAAACCCAGACAGTAATTTTTCAGCTATTCAGTTCCATGGACACATGGCAGGCAAAAGCTTGTCGACTACTTTGGACCATGACATTTACAGGAATTAATAGCATGTAAGTTCTTGTACACAAAATGAAAATTCTAGCTTTGCTTTCCTGTGAACACAAAGGCACAATAAATACCTCTGATCTTGATGTGTTCATAACTGGAATCAGCATGGAACTTCCTCCAAGAACACCCTAAAAAAGCCAAAATAGATTTATTAGGCAGTATTGTCAAATTAATTTCTTGAGAGACAGCAAAGTCTGCCAGCTAGGATACTTAAAAACTAAATACACATATGCATTGACAATGTATACCTTTTTCTTTTTTTTTTTTTTTAAAGCCCTGTAAGCACATTTCAGGTATTTCAACCTTCACTCTACCAACAAGAACACATCTTGATTTGAGGGTGTGCCCTCACCTTCCTTTGACAGGACAAATGCTTTAGTCTTTATAGTAGTTTTAGTTTATATCAGTGATTCAAGGAGCTTAAAAAAAAAAAAATCTCATTTCAAGCATGGTAAGAAGCTAGATACTACCAAATCATCTCATAGTAAGATTTAAAAAGTCATACAGGTGTAACATTTGGGCAATGAAGACTGAAATAAGTTAAACTAAAAAGCATATTTTTGTTTACATCAGTAAATGTGTAGTATTTATGTGAGGTAGTCTAAGCACTAGAACAGTCCATTCAGCTTTTCAGTTAGAGTAAGTGAACTTTTCAGTCCATTGAGTAAAAGAAATCAAATTTACATTTCCTGTAGGTCTGCTTCTGACCTCTTCTGGTTTGCCACCATCTTTGAATGCTGAATCCTGGCTAGTTAACTAGAAGAACAGAACACAGAGACTCAGAATAATTGCTATACTAAAGTTACCTTCATATTTGGGTACAGCTTCCAGTCAAGATACTAAATGTATTAGTGGCCTTAATCTTCTTAAAACAAGATTTAGACAGGACTACCATTACCACACAGGTATCTCAAGCCTCTCAAAAAAAAAAATCTTACTACCCAAACCTTGAAATCTGTACATGAAATATTCAATAGTAGACAACAGCTCTACAAGTTGATTCTTTACAAGTGTTAAAATTGAGTTTCTTCTAGCTCTTTGTCTCTGCCTCAAATCAGAGTTCAAGCCACAAGAACAGCTATTTAAGATTTATATATAGCAATAAAACAAACAAAGCATTAATCTAAACTTCCCACAAACCCAAGATTTAACAAGCAACTCCACACTCATTTCAGCAGTGGATAACCTACTGAACAAGCCGCTGATTTCTGAAGTGGCAAAACTATCAATAGGCATTTGAAAGTCATCTGCCAGAACAAGATTAGCCTGTACTTTTACATTTGTAAGACTCATATCCTCTTCATTTTTGAGATAATTCCTTTGTTTTGAGAACAGTTTATTCGCAATTGGCCAGCACAGTAATATGTAAGTACAGTATTGTGTAAAGACCTTGCCACCAGACCAGAAACTGTCACAAATGCCTCATCTTGGCAAAAAAATTTAATGGCTATATATTATACTTAAAACAAGTTCTCCTGTCTACATCCTAGTAAAACTATCATCACACTTAAATTTAGATTTCTGAACCCACTGGGGATGTATACATGCATTTCTTCTCAGTTATTTCATTCATTCTGCATCAATAATTAATACTACTTAAAATCCTCCCTGGCATAGCCCCCTTCCTTACCTTTTCTCTGTCTACTTTTTTGGGGGGGCTTTCTTCTGATGTACACGAAGGAGATCCTTTAGAGGTCAATGAATACTGTACTTTACGTGCAGCATTCTTAGGATCCGTAATTTTGATCCTGCTCAATTCACACTGTCTTTGGACAGAACGCGCTCTAGGTTGAGAAACTGTGTTATGTCCTGGAATGGTGCAACCAGTTGGAGATCCCAAATTTCTCATTGCAGCTGTAGCCTCCATTTCTGTAGGACACACGGAGATTTTAGAGTTCAGCCATGAAATTAAAAGGTGCATTCCACCCATTACTTTAATACGTACTGGAATCACCAACAGGAATGGAGAGTTCCTTAGGCACTGATGGCACATCTACATGAGGAATCCTCTCTCTATTAGCAGCATTAGATCTCTGGTATACAGCATTTCTGTAGAAGTCAGATGGTAGAGTTATAAAATGCTAGTTTGTAAGTTACTATACATTTTGTTTCCATAAAGTTCATGCAAGACAAACATCTACCTTCTTCACTCACTGTCACAGCTCCACTACACACAAACTCACAGTCAATCTAGCACAAGAGCTTCATTTTGCTTAACTTCAGGCCATAAATTTAAAAACTTAAGCATTGTCTTTACTGAGTCCCTATGTACTGGTACTGTTTTCTAGCTTAGTATATCCAGCACTCTGTGCTGTTTTTAAGGAATGTACCTTCTCTACCGATATATGCACTCAATTTTTTTTATGGTACTCCAAGTATAAAATGGTCTGAACACAGCAGGCATTACACATTTGGTAGTCTTGGGTTATTACTCTCCATATTACATGTTCTTCCTGTGCTGAAGTAGCTAATGGACAAACAGACTTCCCAGGAAGTGACAGACACACTTATTGCCCGAGTTCTCATACTGCTCCACTAAAACAGCAGCAAGTCTAGTGTTTCTGTGATCAAGATCACCACTTCATTAGAAGTTAATACTGCTTGGCATTGCCCATACTTCTTGCTACAAAGAACAGTTACCTACACATAAAATGCTTCCAGCTTCAAGTTACATACTAACCTAAGGGGGTTTATATTCAAGACCAAATATTTTTTCTAGTGTGAAGTCCTTCATCCCTATGTGTTCCTGTACATTAATTTTTCCAATGGTTTCTTTAACCTGTCTTGGCCCACCCATGCCCAAAGGAGATGTCAGCTTTGTTTCTGAAGCCATTAGAGCCCTCCTAACAGTTATGATCCACAGGTTCAAACAAGAAATGCTAAATCTCATTCACACTGAGTCAGTTAAATGCAGCTTCTTCACAGTTCTAAGGCTATGGTGCTAACCTTTCTCTCTCTGCTGTAGATCTGTCCAATTTAGACATCTTATTTAACAAAGAGGAACTGTATGGTGTTCTGGAGCCCCTGTCTCTGGAACTGTCCGAACAGGTTCCATCTGAAGAAGTCCTTTTGCACTGAAGTCCACTAGGATTTTGACTAGGATCTGGCATGCTTCGCTGAAACAAGTTAAATAAAAGTACAAACTCTTCAAGTAATTATTAGAGCAAAACAAATATTGCCAAATGAACCAAGTTTTTAGCATACCTTCTTTCTTTTCTGTAAGATTTCTGCAGGCAAAAAATAGTGGAGATGCTTTCTCTTCACATGATCCACCTCAATTGTCATACCTTCCTTTAGAATGTTGACGTTGGTGGCCTGTCTGTAAACTAACATGAAATTTAGTATTGCACTTTAGTGGGGATGTATGCATTAGGTATTTGTCAAAGTTACATACAGTTGCTTTAGAAACAGCTGGCCTTTAAGTCAGTCCAGCCCAAATGAAGAGCAAGAAGTCCGCAGCCTCACTGAACATGAAATGCTACCCAAGTACTCCACATAGTCTCAAGAAGATAAATGTGACCCGAGATGCCCATTTCACATCCAGTAGAGACCAGATACATAACATCTATTTAAGTTCAAATTCACATTTATGTGCTCAGTTACAGCTGGGGTTTCCTAATCATGCAGCTCCCATATGAATGGATTTTTACTTGAAGGACAGAATACTGCTTAATCATTAGTTTTCTGGTTGAGAATAGATCCAGAGGACTCTCTTAACGAAACTGTGCAGAGCTGATGAGAGACCAGACACATTGTTCAAGATTCAGACTGATTTTTTTATTTGGTATTTACAGTGGTGACTGGTTTTTCTTTTTTTGTAAGAGTTTTGTAACATCATGTAACTTCACTGGTTCGGATATTCACATTCCATCTCTCCAAGAAAGACTGAATTTTAGTGACATGACTTAGTCACTACAATTTAAACAGACTTTTCTTAACTGCCTGCAAACAGCCTTTTAGGTGACTTAGAAATGCTGTACTAGCACAGAAGTTATTACAGAATTAAGTTGCATTTAGATAAGTTTATCTAACAGGCCTATCATAAGCATAACTGGAAAGTCAGCTCACTAACATACAGCATGAGAATCAAAGCAAGGACATACAACAAAACCAAAGAGTTGGTTAAATCTTTCTAGAAGAGACCTAGAAGTGAAATCAAAGCACAGATATCAACATTCACATCAGTATGAACAGTAGCTTCAAAGTAAATTCAATAATGTATTTATGTAAGAGAGAAAAAGTTCACTTATAAGGCTCCTTGTTTGGAAGGCTTTTATTCTTGAGCCATCAAGTTAATCTTTGCCCTCTAAAAATATTCTCTCCCAGTCAAGGCACATGAAAGTTTTCTTGCATGTAACTACAGGTCACTCCCACATTTCCAAAGGATTTCACAGCTCTCAAGAAATACCTTTTCTGTTCATTCTCTCTGGATTCACAACTCGTTTCTGAAACATACTATAGGCTGTGCTTCACTAGACTAAGAGCACAGAGCTGCACTAAGAAAGTCTGGGCATAGAAATAAATCTAGCCTCTTCCCAGTATATAAACCTCACTGACATATTTATAGTTGCCACAGCATTGAAACAGTGCCACTGGATGTAGCATACACCGTCATCTGTACCAATGCTTGTCCCGTAAGTTTGAGGAATTCACCCCACCTAGCTTGAGACTCAGATAAGTTTTGATGCATTTTCATGTGCTTTTTTCATATCCCAAAAGCACAAGCTAAAAAGGTGGTCAGGTTTTAATTCATTTAGTCATGTTATCTAAGCAAGACAACACACAGTTCATGCTGGTACCACAGATAAACTCTTTGTCAGTGTGAACGAACATTAAAGAAGTCCACTGCAGAATAGTAACCTGGTTTCCTTAGCTCTTCGATACAACAGCTAGGCATGAGCCTGACAGCACACATGTTCTTCTGAAAGGTACAAGGGCAGTCAGCTTGGGCAGACGCAAACACGTTATGGAAGAGATCTGTACTTTCAAATGACTTCTCACACCAAAACCCCTTTATTCTTGTGTTATCTAACACTTGCAATACTACTTTATTTCTACATCTATCAAAGTAATAACAGAAGATCAACACAAAAGTTTGGTTTACATGCAAAGCTCCCTGTAACTGCCATGTGACAACACATTGACTTTCAAAGTTCTGGGGTCATACCATACCCAGACTGATATTTTGGGGAAAACACTGCCAACAGACATTAACAACTCATTTTTGAGCCTGATGCAGTTAAATCCCACTTCCGAAATTCAGCAACTGATGAATTTTTTTTGGTAAGTGTAGCTACACCCAGCAAACAGGCACCTCCTGTCTTGACATCTGATTGTCCACTTCAGAAAATGCAGTTCCTTTGGGAGGCTTTACACTATGATATGCAGAACTGTTGTTTCACATATGATATATGGTGTATGACTAAGACACATTTTTTCCGAGATGAACTTATCTTGCCAAATTGTTAAAATTGTTTTTAAAGCTCATCTTCTATACATTGTTCTCTATAGAAATATCTAATAGTCAATACCAAAAGAAAGCACAAATCACTCTGCAAAGCACATTCCACTAGAAATAAAAATATGAAAACCTACAAGACTAAAGCAAAATATAGGCTTACCTGCATCTTGGAACAAGTGTATATCATACGTTAAATCGACATTAAGACGTTCTGCATTTTCCAATTTCTTAAACCTGAGTCCAAGAAACCACATTGACACATATCTGCTCCTAAAAAGACAGATTCACAAATCTGTTTTATGCACACTTGCCAGTTATTTGGATGCTAGTATCTACTCTCAACAAGGGATTAAGCAAAAAATAAAGCTGTACACAGCAGTCAGAGATTACTCAGAACTTAGGTATGGACCAAGTCTACTTTTCTCTGAAGTTTTCCCTTCTATTAAAACATCTGACATGCTCAGAACATTGCCTGTCAGAGCTCCTATCTACAAAAGTAGGTACATAACTGCACACTGTTCCCAGGTAAGTGAAGTGTGAGTGAATATAAAGAAGTTACAATGCCTCAGTCAAACTGTATTTCAGACAAGTAATGAAACTCACCGTTTATGGAATTCCTTGTTGCCAGGGAAGGACTCTGGCTTTACATGGGCAATAGTTATAAACTCATTCCTCTCAAAGTTTGCAACCAGCACACGAATTTTAGACTCAACAAGGCCAACCCTAGTAAGAACAACAGATATTTACTCATTTTTAACTGTGTCCAGCATAGTAGTTATATGCCTATTTATAATACAATGACTAACCCAAAAATGCTATCAATAAGTAGTATGTTCCATTCAGCTGAGCAGATACATTTTACTATCACACACACACTGTACTTTGAGATGTGTTTCCAGCAACATTTGAACTTTAAAGTTTGCAAAGAGAGGCAAATAAGTATTACTCTTAACAGTTCAGATACAATGCTTCAACCTACAAACCACGATGAAAATATCAAGAAGCAAATCCCAGCACCTTTGCCTGCATTTCCAAGTGCAGCAAAAGTCCTTTTTAACCCAAAGATCAAGGAGAAAAGCAGCTTATGCTCAAGGCTCAAGCACAACTGTTCAGTTACACTTGAGTAAAGATGAAATTCTTCCTGCAGATTGATCAGTGAGAACACTTTACCCTCTTCCAACCAAACTGAAAAAATATAATTCCTTTAATAAGCAAATGATCTAGTCACAGTCTCATCAGAAACTTAGCCAATAAATGAATCATGACTACAAAGACTTTTTATTAAAGTACTGGCACTTTACTCTTACCTAAAACACTGCTAACTTTGAAAGCAGTCAGAAATCTCTCAATTACTCCAAGATATCCTGTTGATGAACAGAGATGTGCTATCTATTCCTAAATCCATTCAAGAGTTGATGAACTAAAGCTGTTCTTACATCAAACTGAAGCAAGTTTATCTTCTGCTTTTTAGTTTTCCCAAATGCAAAAAACTAAGCCACATTTGCCTCCATTTCTGTCACTGCAAAAACACCAGCTTTAACTGGAGCCAGAACTTTCCTCATCTTTATTCTAAGAAACAGTAAGATCTCTTAATGTGAAATGTTTAAGTGAACAATTATTTGGCTCTAAGCTCTCTATCTATAACTCCTTGTCGTATACCTGTGACTGACATCAAGTTGTAGCCAATACAATTAAGCAAACATTAGAAATTTCAGAAAAAAGGTATCAACTCTTAGAGCAATTTTCACACATTATCTAAGATGTCTTTTAGAGATAGTAAAAGAATTAAGTTATTTGCCTTAAAGCACAAGCTGAACTTCGAAGTATAGCCAATGTGCCCTCAGAAGAGGAGTCTGTTACACAGGAGTTATTGTTTGCTTACTTGAGCAAAGTGGGTAAAGTGTCATTTCTTAACATTAAGAACACACACATTACAGTACCTTATTTCCTCACTGTTTCCCCTTATTTCAAGACTCAGTTAGCACATTCACATAGGTTAAAGAGGTTATTATGGGCATACCTCCCTTGAGACACTGACAAATGTGTCATAAGCAGTGATTTCCTCTAACTACAATTGAGGTGGTTCCCACATTAAGTTTCACAAAGCAGATCAATACTCCTGCAGTTTTCCTACCCACTAGTCAGCATGCTGAAGCAATCATTTTCAGCAGCAAACCCAAGATGTCCAAGCACACTTTTAGATTAAAACTTAGTAAATACAATTTACCAGCTTTCAGATGCTCTGTACAGACTGTCATCTTTTACCCAGATTAAACAGCCTCGTTTCACTTCACTGGACATAAGTAGGCTCTGGAATACGCTGACTAAATAACCAGAGCAACTTAGCTTTGAGTGCAATCTAGCCTTAAATTAATTACACACAGTAAAAACAGTTATGAAACCGAGTCTTCTAAGGCTCTAGAACAGTGGTCTTCACAGTGGGGGGGTGTACAGGAAGAATGTTAGGAATACAGGAAGAAAGCATTAGAACTTCAGTAGCGTATATGTAACTTGCAATATATATCTACTTATTTACAAGTACGCATTCAAAAATTTTTTTCTGATATAAGCATGTGGTCAAAAGACTTCGCAGACTACTGGTCTATAGGTTAGTCAAAGACCTAGCTCTCCAGTGTCCATCACACATCTGATTACATCAAATAATCCCCATTTGCTTCAGTTTCTTCAACAAGGAACTTAACTGAAGTAGTGTTGGGTAAGCAGTTCCCTTCAGCTCTTTGCATCTGCTTCTCCAGATGACAAAGCACCTGGCCTTCAGGCATATGCACACTAACCCTCTTTGTTCCCTCTCATCATGACTCAAATCTTTAGTTTAGCATAAATCTTGCTGGTAAATAAGTTAAAAGCTTTCTTGTGAAGGGAAGTTAAGTTTACTGAACTGTCGACTTAATTTGGTACTGTATTCAGTGCCTAGTTGCACAGTTCAATACTTCCTTTGTTATGCATTGAACCCACATTTAAGAGCAAGACTTACCACTCTAAGTGCTGCTCTTCAGTAGAGGCACTAGCCATCAGCACAATATAATGGCTAGAAAAGAAAAATGAAGATACTAGCTCAGGACTTCATACTCCTTCAAGGGAAACCAAAACTGCCTTAAATGTACTAAATATGAATTCCAGAGAAGACAGATTACATCCTGTATTCAGCACAATATTAACTGAAGAAAACCTGATTACATCCTTTAGAATTGCATTCTGACACATTCTAAATATCACAGTTTATTTTTTCTAACAAACTCAGTGTCAGTGGCATAACACACAGTTTGTCTATCCTCCCTGTACTTATCCTTATCAAAATTCATGAGACTACCTCCTGTTTCTGAAAAAAACATTAATGCTATCTTCTATTTAGACTGCAAGTTAAACTCCCTATTCTAACCAGTAAGCAAATCATTTCAAGTTCAGACAACAGATCTCATACATACTTGTACTTCTGAAAGAAGTTCAGTGGTTCAAAGAGCTTTGACCAGTCTGATTTTCCTCGAAGAATCTCATTTGTAACTTCAAGGCCTGCAGTTAAAGTTGAAAAACCTTATTACCATTTTAGTTTTAAGACTAGCAGAGCACAATATAAACTTCTGAACAGTAATCCACAGATGAAAAAGCAGGAATTGCCTTGACACAGGGCAGGTCTACTACAATAGGTCATCCCAAAACTGGCCCCTTATTCCCCAAAACTGGCCCAAGAGTCATACTTTCCAGAGGCAGCTTCTACTTGAAAGGGCAGACAACCTCACAGAACATAATCAATTCCGATAATGTGATCTCATATAACAAGAATTATACTTTTTAATCCATTAATTATAATCGAAAGAACTTCACCATGTTTGAATTCTTCCACCATCACTGCTCGTGTTGACACAGAGACGTTGTACGTGGAGTTTTGGTGGGGATAAGCTGGGGTGATGATAGGCATTACGTGGCATCGATCAGACGGGTTCACCTATGATGTTAAAACCATCTTGTTTAGCATCAGTTTAGTTAGAAGAAGGTTTGAAGGCTTCTGAATTCAATGTCTACATACCCTAGGGTCCCATACTGGTAAGTTAAGATCACTCTCTCCAGGTTGTTTCAGCAACACGGGATTTGGCCAATCCCTATATAAGAAAAGCCAGTAATTAACTGTCCGTTTGAAACTATGATGTGCAATTGAGGGTAGGATTATATCAAGAACTACCATTAGAAGTGTTACTTCATGCATATTCAAACAGTTGCTCTTACCATTTTGAAAAAATCATGAAGAACTTGTTAATGAGTACAGAAGCCAGAGCGTTTGGATATAACTGGCATGTTCTCGCTACCAATATGGCCCATGAAACCCCACCAAGAAATCCTAACACGTTGGAGTAAATGCCACGTTCTGGAACAAACACATTGTAGTTAGTCTGCAGTCTTTTAATACCCAGTACATGCCTTCAAATTTACACCAACTTCACAGTCTACACAGTGCTTAGTACATTTCACCCTCAAAGTCAGCTATTTTTTCAGTGTAATGAGGCCAAAACTGTTGATCCTAACAGTGACAAGAAAAAGAATCATTACCACACCACTTCCCAAAATACTGCTACTCTGAAATCTGCCTACACTGCTACAGCTACTGCTTCACTCCAATTTAGCTTAAGAAAAAATTCTGTCATTCTTCTAGCACTTGCTCTAGCCACATGCACAAATGATATAATCTCATTCCTTATGTATCAACCTTTTATACTTGGCATTTTTACTATTTGTACTCAGGTTCTTGATAAGCAATGCAGCATCTTGTCTTGTAGGCACTTCCCCCTCTTCCCACCATTAAAATCTAAACAGAATCTACCCCATGCACAGACCTTCAATCTAAACGAAAAAACAGTTTTTAGCTTAAAACGGTCATTTAAACAGCTGTCCAGAGCCAAAATACTTCTAGTGGTCTTATTGTTTCAACATGAGGTGTCTCTGAAAAATTTAAAGATCACAAAATCACATAACTCACGTTTTGCCCACAGCTTAATTGCACGAAGTGCAAGCCGGAAGTTCTCTCTGTTTGGTACTAGACGTAAGATTTCATCAGTAACTCTGCAACCTGTAAGAAAAAAGGTACAAGTCAGTTTTGTGCTATACTGCATCGATACCTCACAGTTTACCATTCAAGTCTATGAAAGCAAGTTTGAATCATTTGCTTTGTATTACCTTAAAAATGACAATGACCCGTAACATTCAGTACCAGTTCAGGTAACTGGTGCCCTCAACAGCTTTTTCATAGCATAGACTACAGCCAATTTTTAATAAAGCCTTTCTAGAGGATTCTGAAAGCTTTCTTTCAACAGCCAGGAACAATTAAACCAGTCAGTGTTAAATATGGAGTAAGTTAGGCTTCAGGTACTTTAATGGTTTGGGTTTGGTTTTTTTTTTAATGAACTATCACACAGTCTTCTCTATCAAGTGCTCCACCTATTCATCTGAAGCAGTTTCTGTAGCCAGCTGGAACACTGCATACACCCTGATCAAGTAAACATGAAATACATGTCTATCTAAACACACAGCTCCTTGAAACATCTAAATTTGAGCCCAGTCACCACCTCCTCAGATCTCAAGTATATAGGAGATCAGTTTCTGCATCTTGTATAGAAACTTGGGTTGTGTAAAGTGCGTTCTATAGCAATTTTAGTAACTTTAAAAAAAAGTGTAAATATGCTTACCATTTAAACTCCGTATACATCTTATGTCTAGGTTTCTCAGACATGAGTCGACTCTAAGGTCAAGATTAGCTGAAACAGTTGGCATCAACAGTCTTGCAAACACAAGATCGATCTTAAGACGAAAAGCACCAAACATGAGTTAGAATTAGTGGGGTACAGTTAGTCAAGTCAAAAAAGTGGTTAACATTTGCTTTTAGAATTATGTTACTATAGACACATCTCCCAAGAGATTTATTTAACAGAAAACAAGAAACCTGCTCGAATTTCCATATTTTATTTACAAAATCTTCACTGCATCCCCCCCTTTCTTTTTAAGCTAGGGAAAGGAGGGCTTTTTTTTTTTTTTTTAAAGTGGAAAAGATTAAAATTAGAGTTTCCATTAAAAGGCAACTTAAAATTAATCATAGAATTAAGATGTAAATTCGATGACCTCAACTATACTTCAACAAAAGAGAGAGCATTTTCTTCAGGCAGTAATCCCTTTTGATCCTGAAGTATCTAGTTCTTAGTACAGTCCAAGGCAAGAAAATTTTTGTGTGAACGTCTGTACCAGATAAAGGCCACAGAAAGATCATGGAGTAAGTGTCTTCATGATGGCAATACCAAGCAGTAACTTGCTTAGGTAGGACAGCATGCAGGTCTTTATTCACTAGATAAGATATATTCAAGATACAAAGATTCCTGCAGCTGACAAACCTTAGGCAGAAGTCAGATGAGTCCGTTTACTTTTCATTTTCCAGATTGCGTCTCACAACTGCTTCATTTTTGCTTTGCAACAAAACATTTAGTCTGCTCATGTGATTCATACAGTGACCTACACTATACCCATTCCTCTGCAGAAAGCTAGCTTGTCAGAGCTAAGAAGAGTTAGCAAGGACACTGTTTCTACTCCCACTCTGCACAATGCTCGAGATAAATGCTGTTCAAGTAAGCTATCCTGGTCTATAACACAGGTTTAGACAAACATGCCCCTGATGTACCCATGTCTGCCAGGCTTCCTAGGGGCTTATTTTCCTATAAGTTCCTATTTTACTGCAGTGTCTTCTCCTGGGATAGGTTGTGGTCAAAATCAGCTTAGTCACAGGTCCCTGGAAAACTCAACCTATTCCAAAGCAAGAAAAAAAAATGAAATGCTTACCTCAATGCCATCAAATTCAAACTTCACAACAGGCACGTATGCATCTTCCACTGCCTGTAAAGGAGAGGATAACTGTTTAAGAAAACATTTTTTTCCTACTTTTATTTTTTTCCAGAATTATGATAAACAGAATTAACACTGCTAAAGTACTTGGTATAAAGGCTGAGTTGCTTCCGAGCCAAAAAAGTTGCAAGCAGTATAGCGCTAATAGAGTAACTAATACCAGCTTTAAAAAGTTGTTTAACCAACAGATTCAGAGGCTGATCACATATTGTAATGAACAAATAGTGCACAAGGAGCCATCAGTATCAGTGGTAGTAGGGTATTTACCCTGATAATGAGGAAAAGAGTTTTCTTTAGCTATTTTACTACTGGTTAACATCCAGAGAAATCAAAAAAGTTCTGTCAACATCTGACAGTGCGCACTAGTCCTCTGAATTTGTTTTCTACTCTGCCTGAGATGCTATCAGGTACTTAGGGGACAGTTTTCAATTTTATAGACCCTTAGTTATAACTGTGCCACAGTCCACGGCAAGTCTGTTCTCAGGTGCTCACACATATTAAGTCTTTCAAAGTGTCTGCATGAGGAAAACCAGGCCAAGAAGAAACACTTTTCAGGAGTTGAGTCTCAAATCAAGGTACTCAACTTACGTGCCTGAGGGTGATTTTACAAAGCAGTTTTGTAGTTCACAACACAGCTCCTATTCAGTTTATGTCAAGCTGATAGCGCTCATCCCTTCCCCAAAGTCTGAGGCTGAGTATCCAGAGAGGAACATGACCAGAGAAGAACAAATTTAAAGTCCTAAAGTACATCCAGAGAAACTCCATAGCCAAGGTACTGCCAGAAGCCTTTCCACATCACATTCAACTTCCCTTAGTTTTCAGGCTGCCCCTTCCTATTCCTGCACGCAATTACCTTCTTTCCAAGTCCCTTACTACATCTAAGATTAAAGCAAGGCTTCTAGGGACAACCTTGCTTTTAGATACAGCAGACTTCTTTCCAAACCATGGACTGGGGAGAAGCGTACCACAAAGACTCTTATATCATGTACAGTCATTGGGGAAAGGAACCAAAAGCCTGGCTTCGACATTTTCATGCTGCATAAAACAGTATTTTAGAAAGTGATCAGAAACAAAGTCTTTGGCTTGGAAGACATTCACTACCAATAAGAGTCTTTAACATGATTATTTTTATTATAGTAGTATCACTATCTACCAAAGAGAGCTCACTCACCCTTAGATTTTTTATCTGATTCTCATGTTTCAGTTTGACAAAGAACGACTTAAAAAAATCTGATCTTTCCACATGTTCCGGAGCAACACAAACAGCATCTATGTCTGCACCTGCAAAGAGATGCCATTTCTTCTATTATTGTTGGAAGCCCCTTTCAAACATTAAAACTATGGTCCAGGGGAAGGTGTCCCTGCCCATGGCAGGGGGGTTGGAACTAGATTATCTTTAAACGTCCCTTCCAACTCAAACAATGATTCTATGAACTGTGACCAGACAACAGAAGTTCTACCTTTAGTATGCACTCCAAGCCTGTAAGAGCCAAAAGTAAATATTTTGCCACCAACTTCTTCTAAGTCTGAAGGAGAAAGATTCTGTGGGTAGAAGAGAAAGTTTACTTTAGAATATAAGATACACATTGACCTATGCGTAAGTTTAGCTAGCACACAAGTTACTTAGACTACAACTACCATAAACAATGTCTTCTCACTCCTGTACTGAGTTGTTACTCTATTAGACTAATACTGGTTTTCTGAAATGAGTTATTGCAACCAAAAAAAAGAGTAATTTATAATTCCTTTCATTAATATGCACAAATTAAGACCTATTATTAGTGTTCCCTGCAGCAGACACACATAACACAATTCAAGAGCTCTACACATGACAAGTCTAGTGTAATATTTTCAAACTAGAGTAGGTCCTGGAGGCTGTTTGGGACAGGATTAGTACCCATCTACCATCTATCTCACACCACAATACATTGTTTCACCTTTAACTGCTACAAGTGAACTGATAAAAGTCACTTCACAAATTTATTGGGTGCCCCAAAAACTTCAGGATCTTGATCTAAAGTATTTTTTATAACTTATTTCAATGGCAGTTACTACAGCTCTACTCAATACTTAAGCTAAAAGTTGAACTGTAGCATAAAGGCCTAGTAGTATGGCCTTTAAAAGAAATAAAAAGGCTTCAGCTGTTCTGATAAAAAACACAAAAATATCCTTACCTTGCTCTCACCGAGTTCCACAATCCATTCTTTGACCAATTTATTCAGTTTATCGAGAACAACCAGCCTGTAAAAAAAACCAAAACCAACTCATGTTAAGTTTGCCTTAAAAACCTGAAAGGTTAACAAATTTTACATATAAATATATAAATACCTGTGAATCAACTCTTCTTGATCTTCAAACACCCCAAATGGTTTTAGTACTTCAGTTAATTTCTGTGTGTGAACACAATCTAAGTCCTTCGGAGCAGCCAAGCTAATTGGAGATGTAACTCCATAACTTCTTTGCGGCTGGTTCTGTAGCCTGGAATTCCTTTTGGGGGGGGAAAAAAAAATAAATTACTGAAGACTTAACAAAAGCAAAAAAAAAAATTTATTGGAAAACACCCTTCTTCAGCTCACAGGTTTCCAAAACGGTTTTTGCTCTTTTACCCAGCATAGAACATGAGAAAAAAAATCCTGCTTATGATTTTTAGATAACTTGACCTAACTTAGAAGTCACAATTACTTGGGTTTTTTTTAAAAAAACAAACAAACAAAAAAAAAAAACCACGCAGATAGAAGAAAAGATCCAAGTTGCTACCATCTTAAAACAGTTTATTGGCATTGCTCCTAACAGAGCTGATCACCAGGAAATGAAAAGTTTTGAAATCCACCAAGGGTGACACTACATACAGCAGAAGTTTTGGACACATTCTAGTTTTGATTTAAGGATATTCCCATCAGCTTCCTGCTAACATTCAACAAGACAATTTAACACTGGCTGGCTTCTTTCAGTTAAATGTGTTTGCTGTGCTACTACTTATTCTGGAAGGGCATTACAGCTGACTGTAGAGGAAGGACATATAATGAAGTAGTCTGTTAAACAGAGTTGATGCAGTAAATTCAGTATTACCTTGGTTTTGTTTGTGGAAGAGTATGAATAAAAACATCAACCAGTCTGAAGCTAATGTGGCTACGAGGACCTCACACTCTTAATGCAGCATTCCGTTTTTATAGTTCATAGGCTTAGCTGTACATACATCTGTTTTATCTAAATCCCAAAGATAGAGGTCAGCACATAAAGCAGCACCAGTTAAGCTTGTAGAGGCTGGCTTAGCCAGCCCACCGCCCAGTTAGGCTAAGCAGGACAACAGGCACCTGGGTTTGAAGGCCCCCAAGATGGCTACCCATGCAACTTCAGTTACAGCAAGGCCGAGTTCTAACCTCCAACCCTCCGCTTGCCCTCCATGTTTAGCCTTGCTTGCAATCAGAAGCAGCACAGCACCGACATGGCAGGACACCATTAAATTAAAGACAGCATTAGCACTGGGTGGGGTTTTTTTGGGGGGTTGTGGGTTTTGGTTAGTGTAGGTTGTGGTTGTTTTTTTTGGTTTTTGGTTTTTTTTTTTTTACACTATAGAACCCCCGCTTTAGAAAGGGAACAATGGAGGAAAAAACCCTTCTTAGCATTACCAGCTGAAACCAGGAGAGAAAGAAGAGTGGGACAAGAGGTAAGAAGTAAGAACTGTACTTAAAGGATCAAGGGTCTCTACAGAAACACCAGTAGCAAATGGTGGAGACACATCAAGAAGTCTTTCGGACTCATCAGGCTTGTCAAAGAGCCTAATCCCTTTAGCCTTAGGGTCTGGGTATGATTATCCCATTATTCAAACTGGGATTTTCCCTACTTCACATACAGACAACTCCAAACATTAGCTGGATTAGTCAAGAGATATTTACAACTATTTTAAGGTATTTGACCCATCTCAGCAGCAATTTAAAAACAAGGATTTCAACGGGATTTTAAAAAGAGACAGCTTATTACAGCTCTTATTTCTAATTGTTGCCTTTATTCTTCCACTGAGGAAAGATGGATTTCTCTCTCAAGAGTGGACTGAAAACTATGTAGTTGGATCAGTCATCTAGTGGGTTTTTTCCTCTCCACGAGCTCATTTTTCAAACTTTCTTTTACATGTATTCCAAAAAGTTGGGAGAGTATTCGGACTGTAGCTCTATCAAGGAGTCTTCCCACACAGAACAGCTGTTTACTTACAGGTAAGTAATTAGGCCTTGATCTAATTTGCCTTGCTTTCTTAATAAGCATTAATTTCCACTTCCTAAGTAAAAGTAGTCATAATTAATATTTCCTCTCTTACAATATCACTTTCATAACAATTACAGAAGAAAAACCTATGCTTAACTGCTGTGCATTACAACTAAATTAAAACACCTACAGCAGCAACTTCCTACGTGTTTTAAGTATTAATTGCACCATAAAACTTGCCCTTCAGAAAGTTTACACAAATCAAGAACAGGATTTAGACATCACTAGCATTCAAGATCCTTCCAGCATACAGAAGGCCATTATTTACCTTTCACTGCCCCATTCTTCCTACAGAGAATGTAATTAGACATAGTGGACAATATTAATTACATATATCAGATATTATTAATATAAAATTTTAGTGAAAAGTAGGTATTTCTATTTCAGTTGCTTGCATGTATTACTGAAAGTTTGATCTCACAACTTGAAAGTTGAGAAAAACAGCACTCAGAAATTTTTTGAATGAGGAACTTACGCCCAATAGAATTTGTCCCCCTTTTGGAATAAAAAATTAATATATGTTAAAAATAAAAATAAATCTTAGCTCTTTCTCTTAAGTGTACCAGACCACCAGGTATATAGAGAGAAAAGCTCTTAAGAGCTTAAGTAGCATGCACGACACACTACCTATCCCTTCACCAGCCTTCTGTTTAAATGAGAACTCTGGTGCAGTTTAATATTTTGCAGACTCTTGCTATGGTTTGTCCACCACAGCACGTAGCTTCGACGTATTTCTGTTCTGATGGATCCAAATTTCAAATAAGTTAAACTAATTTGTTCCAGGTTTTATCACTTATATTTATACTTTACAAAGCTGCAAGCTATTTGTCCTGCATAATCCAAGGAATGAGTTTTATACTGTTAAATTTCAGGGAGCGGCCTTCAGCAAAGAGCACAGTGTATGAGTGCTCACTACTGATGTATTTCTTTCACTCATTAAGTTAATTTGCCTCCATCACTTGGGAGGAGAAATGACTGGAAATCAGCTCCTGAATCACTAAAAAATTGGTAAAACAAAATCAAAACTAAACACCAACACACCCCCAAAAAAACCCCAACCCTATGGCCTTCAGTGAAATGACACTCTCTCCAGCTTTCATTCCTACCGCACAAACTCACGCTAAAAAAAACCCAAGCAGACACCTGCTGGCAAGTTAAAGCACCTCGTTCCTGACGCAAACATTTAGAAAAACACACTTGTTCTTCCCCGTTGGAGCTGTATACGCCGCCTCAAAGCAGCACAAAGCCACCACCGGCGACAGCCCACGGCCAACCAACCAGCCAGCCAGCCAGCCAAGCGGTTACCCAGGGACACCACCTCAGCGGGGAACCTAGCAACCGTAACCGTGACGCACAAGCGCGCCAAAACCAAAAGCTGGGGCAGCCGCAGAGCTTTTTACGCATGCCCCCACAAGAAACAGGCTCAGCGCTTAATTTAAAGGAGAATTTTCCCTGACGGGAGACAGGTTTCCACTCTCGAAGCCCTCCGGGGACACGGAACCTGCCGCCGCACCGGCTCCCTCAGAGCACGAAAGCAGGAAAAGCGCCCGAGGGGAGGCGCGGGAGGTGGAGGGCGGCCGCCTCACCCGCAAATCTCCTTCATGGCGCACCCCGAACGACCCAGCCCGCAACTACCCTGACCTTACTCAAAAAACTTTACATTAGGAGGAGTTAAAAATTACTTTATTTATTATTTGCATGGCAGTAGTTCTAATATTTCCAAGTCTGAAATGAGTATTTTTGAAGAACAAAACTGAGGAGACTGGGTTGTTTACTTACTCTGTGAGTAGTATTTTTTTTCATAGAAAACAAGTTTCTTTTGTTGTTTACAATCTGTTTATGTGAAACTATTTCTAATTTATAACTATTACATTTTATCTACATGGTTTCCACATATTAACTGTAGCAGCAGTGAAGCATACTATGATTTAGATAGCATAGATTTGGGTGAGAGTTTGTTTCAAGGTAGTGCTTTCCTCTGCTGTATGTATTATATTAATTTTTAAATACTTTTATATAGTGCTTGGGGTATGGAAATGCCTGATAACCAGTTAAATAATGTTAGTTAAGGCTTTTGGTTTTGGTGTGTGTATGTGTTATCCAGATAGTATATTGAAAAAGGGAGATATATTTTTGTAGAGTGATATACTCTGTGGGATTTGGGTTTGTTTAGGTTTTTTTAATTCCCGTTATGTTTCAAAAGAGTAAATATTCTCTGTAGCGTAAATGAGGTGGTATCTGAGTATTTCTAGTCTGTTTAAGGCTAGTACTGATTTTATGAAGATGTGCTTTATAAATATGAATATGTAGGCAGTGTGTTTCCATCTTATAGCCTGGATATTTATATTTTTATCTTATCTGTAAAGTTAATAGTAGTGTGTTGTGTTTTAGAAACCATGTGGGGGACACTGTGTTTGAGAGACTTCTAAAACTTAACACCTTTAAATGCTTATTTCTGGCTAAAAAAAAGCTGTCTATGTATTTGGGTTTTGCTGTTCTTGTTTCTTACTGCTCTTTCACTCTGGTCTTTTCAGTTGCTGCCCTTGTATCCTATAGGGGATAGCTACTTGTAAATGTTTGTCCCTTTTCAGTAAAAGGTCACAAAGTTGTTTTTTCATCAACTCAAAACTGTTCTTTTAAGTGGGCTAATTAGTTTTTTGCTCAGTATGCAGTTCCTGTAAGCTGTTAAACCTCATCTTTTAAATTTAAATCTTTGCTGTGTCAATTTTTGGCTAAAGTTAGTTTTAATGCATCTAATCATGTAGCTAGGTGGTCAGAAATACTGGCTTTAGGGGCAGGCAAAAGAACATATTGAGAAGGAGGAATGAAGTCGTTTGTTTCAATATCCCCAAGCTAAATGTTGTATGTTAGATAATATCCTTTATATTTATTTAAACTATACTCTCATACAGTAGTTCTGTGGCAGTTTAAATTTATCTAACTTAGGCTGTTGTGATTTTTATCCTCTTCTTTAAAGAGCCTGTGCTGAATTAGTGTTCTACTAGAGCTGGTTTCTAATTGTTGGAGTATGTGCAGGCTCCTGAATGCTGCTGCACCAGGGAGAAGCAGAACCACAAAGTTCTGGAATTCTGGTGAAGTGGGATGATAGCAGTCTGGTTTTAGGTTGGTTTACAGCTTACCTAAAGGTTTTCATCTTTTTCCAGCAAATCAGTTGATTTAAGAAAAGTTACAGTCTATCTCTAAAAGTCCTCTGGTTTTATTCTCCTTCTGCAATTCTGGGCATTGTAAAATGGTGTGCATATCTGCCTGTCATATTAGTACTGGTACCCAAGCATACCTGTAAATGCATAAAAGAAAGTGATTTTTTCTTTTTGAGTACTTAACATCTCTATACTAGCAAGATAGCTTAGAGGGGGATTTTTTATGGGGAGAACACAACTTTTAGCTTTGTAGGATCAACTCTTATCCATAGAGGGATGCACATTAATATTGCCACAGTCAAAACATTTCCATGCTGCATGTGTCACAGGCTGAATTGTCTGTATTTTACAGTTATGGGGAAGATTATGTACTCAGATGGGTACTTTAACACCTGCGTCATCTATCAGCTGGCTTCCTGACACTGTTGGATGTCTATGTTTGGGGATAGCTCTTCTATTAAGTGGGATGTCTCTGAGGGGCTGATATTTATGAGGGAATGTGTAGCTGAAGTCATATGACAATGATAATGAAGAGCAGTGTGCCTGTATGAATGGGAAAGGTGTGATATTTTGGGGTTTTCAGTTTTGTAGCTTTTTTTCCCAGATGAATTATGTGTTGCAACCCATAAAAAAAGACATCTTTGTCCAGAAGGATTTTAATTGGTTTTTATTTGGCAAACTGCTTCATAACTGTTACTAATTTCTAATGTTCTAACATTTTAATGATTAAAGGAGAGTAAAACTTGAAACAGATTTTTTGAAGTGAGTTTTGGGGGAGCTTCAGGTATATCCATGAAGAATTATGTACTAACTACTGCGCTTGAACCTTTCTGCTTTAACATCAAAAATCTGACTGAAAGGTGAAGCTGTTTCAGAGGAATTATTTGTGTGGTATTAAAATATTATCCACATAATCCAGAGAAGTTTATCAGAAAAACATCTTACTCAAACTTCAGATTTTTCTTACAAATGTGGAGCATCTTATCTGTGTAACATACCATATTTCACTAGAGAAAGATTTTTGTCAGCAGTAATTTTTATGTTTAGGCCCTGATGTGTATCACCTAAAAAATAACATGAAGTTCAATTTTGGAAAGCTGCATTTTGTTATGAATATTCTCAAGGTTTACTAATCTGTCACATGATGTGGGAAGATATATGGTAAGAGATAACAGTGAACAGTAGAAGGTGGGGTTGCAGAAGATAGACTTCAGATGAAGGGTTTTAAACAGGCGGTGGTGGAATGTTTTTTGTTTGTTGAGGGGGGGCAGTTCTTTATCTTTTATCATTAATTTACTTCAAGGGACACAATGCTATGAAATGTTTGTATTTGTAATGGAACAAGAAGGTGATGTAAATACATAGACTGTCTGTATTTCTAAGTGCTAACTGGCTGCTGAAATACTGAGCTTGCCTTGGAGGCATGACTTCGGGACTGTGTTATTACACGGCTGTGTGTCTTTCTAGAGGCTGGCTTGCTGCTAGTGGGTATTGGCTCCTCATAGTGACAGTGACTTCCTAGCTTAGCTGCAATCACTGGGAAGGATTTAAACTTGCTGCTGTATATTGAGCCAGCAAAACAGTATCCTCTCTGCTTTTGCAGGGAGGGCTTGTGCCCGTTTATGTGAAATTAGTTACAGATCTTCACTGAGTCAGCAACAACAAAAGGCTCTGCATAAACTTGTGCTGGCTTGTAGGGCAGGTGCAGTGTCATTGGGAGATGGATGGGTCATTCCCTTGTTTCATTTCAAATTGAAGCAAAGATTAATTACGGTGTTACCAGCTTCTAAAACAGGTTAGTTAATGGGAACTAACTGTGAGCTCTCTGAAGCAGCACTAATCTTGCCTCTCTCAATGAAGTGTCTTTCTTTGATCAGCTCATTCTCTCTCAGCAGGCCAAAAAATAGCCACGGGATACGAGTGCCTAGTTTACAATCATGTTAATTTTGCTTTAGGTTTGTCTTTAGCTGTTGGAGATTAATGAATCAAAATGGTGTTTAAATTTACAACCATCTCTCTTCTAATCACTTGGCAGGATTATTTCTAGCTGGTTTTGACTTTGATTACCTGAGCCAATCTAAAGGACGCTGCAAGTCTGCCATGCGATAGTGGGGTACACCCTTAAATGTCTAGGAATTAGCAAGATGACAGCGGAGGGTGTTGAGGATTATCTTGCTTTTTTGACTATTTCCTGTGCTGTGTATTTTTTGCAGCCATGTTCAAACCCATCACTTGCCATTCCTCTTCACTCATTTTTGTCCATGCACCAATCTTCTTTGACCTTAGGAGAAGAGCCTCCTTTGATTCCACCAGCAGCCATCAGACATAGTGACAGTGTTATGGATTAATCATAATTTAAAATGAAATCACACCTTCAAATTTGTTTTAGTGGTCAGTAAAATTTATTAGCAAGCAAAAGTGAGCAAAACAGCGCTGGGTGTACCGGGGAGTCTCTGCTCCACCAAGGCACACACTTTACATCCCGAAACGGAGTCATTTTAAAGTGCAGCCTTCATGAATATTCATGAGGGTGGGGTGCTCCCTGAGGGGTTTGCAGGTCGTCAACAACTTTTCGCGGGGTTTTTGTTGCCAGGGAAGGTTCGCCGGCTTTCCACCGTGGGGCAGGAGGGGGATGGCTCAGCATAGGTGTGCATGTATCCATAGTCCAGACATGTCTGGACATAACAGCATCTGGCCTGAAGACGGCGGCCATTTTAACTCCCTTTTAACAACTGATTTTAACCATAAAAAAACTATATACATAATGCTTTATCTCTTTTTAAACCTTAGGTTACATGTAAAGTGCAAAAACATTTAGAACCATAACACTGTCTGACCACAACAAAGTTCAGTTACAATACAATCTGATGTTAACACAATTTCTTTTTATATTTAATTTACTGAATAATATATTTAACCATAAATTGAGATTTGAATAACAAATATCATATAGGCTTTATTACAACAGTACGTTGGGGATATTCATTTATGTGGAAGTGCAGACAAGACCTTTGATGCTTGACAACTAAGCGCAAGCAAAGGCTTTGCTTAACAAGGTCTGTGTATGCTAGCGTTTGGACAAGCAGCTGACACATGGAATCGTAGGGTTTTTTCCATTTCTTGGGGTTTCGCTGTAAGGGGAAAATTAAGCTGATATCTAAGTGTCCTTCTGAAGTCTTTGCGTCTCCTATAGACAACCTGGATGTGGGTTCTCTAAAGATTTGATTTGAAGTCTGGTACCCTCCAAAGGTATTACGCACATAAAATTCATCTTTCCAGTTAACCTTTAAAAGGGTTTCCTTTCAGGGAAGGAAGTTGAGTGGAAAGTGATCTGCTTCTAGATAAATGGTCTTAAATTGTAAGAACAGACATATCTGCTAGCTAACACCTGAAGAAGGAAAAAAGTCTTATGTGGGATGTGTTCAGAAACAGATGTCAGGAAGACACTGCCCAAATTTAATGGGATATG